ACCTGAGTTATTGGCTCATGTTTTTGGAGGTTTCAGTCTGGTCAATTGGCATGTTTGGCCTGTGGTAAAATAGCACATCATGGTGGAAGTGTATGGCAGAGGAAACTGCTCACCCAATGGCAGCCTGGAAGCAGAGAGAGAGAGAGAGAGAGAGAGAGAGAGAGAGAGAGAGAGAGATACCAAGTTCAAATATTCCCTTTAAAGGCAAGCCCCCTGTGGCCTCACTTCTTCCCAGTAGGCCCCACCTCTTAAAAACTCTACCACCTCCCTATAATGCCACAGCCTGGGAACCAAGCCTTTCAACACTCTTTGGAGTCACTTATCTAAACCATAGCATCATGTCTGTACATGAGTCTACTACATATGATTAGCTTAATCTAAATTTTTAGTTTTTGTGAAAAAATAGACAATTTAATACTGAATACAAGGGCATGGATCTCCATTAGAACATTCAAATTAAATGTTGATAATTTTCATTAGAAATTTGAAGTAATGAGACTCTTAAAAATTTGATATAGAACTTTAAAAAATGAAGTGGTTACTCATTTAATAAATATGTGTGTCTTTGGGTATTGTGATAAGCGCTGGGATTAGAGTGGTAAAGTTTAGGTATCAGTTACCAGTTAGCTTACAAGAGCTAAGGTTCATAAAATTGCACTCATTCAACATATAAATATTTCTCTGAAAGAGAATTGTATCTTTCCGTCTGAAAGAAATTGTTGAAGATTTGGAAGAGTAGTAATGTAAACAATGAGTGATGTAGACAGTGGCATATGATATTAACAACTTAGAGCTTAATCTCTAACTTTTAATATACATAGAGATAGTGAATAATACATGTAGGGATAGTGATTATACAGAGTATAAAAACTACCTTGGACAGTATTTCTCAAATCTAGCACTATGTTGGAATCACCTGAGATTCTGGGCCCCAGGTTGAAGTATTTCTAGTTCACTAAGTCTAATGGTGCTATGACCAGCTCAGCTATAGGATTAGTGGTATTTCAGATGTGTGTGTGACAAACATTCTACTATTTTGGCCACCTAGCCAGAGCTACAAAGGTAAAATCTACAAAAGGAAAGTAGATAAAACAATGGCAATTCATTGGGTAAATACAGAGAAGAGTTTGGTGGAAGGTGCTTAGAAACATGGAGGAGTGGACTCCCTCCTCAGTGTGGGTTGATTAGGTTAGGCTTTTGTGAGGAAATATTGATTAAACTGATTTTTAAGGAGGAATAGGGATTAATCGAATATAAAACAAGGAAAATGCTAATTGAACATTTTATCCAAATGCTATATAAAGGCCAGAACTAAGGTCATTGTGGAGATGGGAAGGAGGAGATCAACTCTGGAGATCCTAATTGATAGAGTAAATGGAATGTATTTATAAGATCTGGAGTCCATCATTCATTACCCATGTGTGCCTTGCTCACTGCTGCAGTCACACTAGTCTTTTAGTACCTCAGATACACCCTGCTTATTCCTGACTTGGGGTCTTTGCAGCAGCCGCTCTTTTTGCTTTGTACCTTCTTCTACCTCCCAACCCAAGCTCTTTGGCTGCCTTCTGTTCATTTGTCACTAGCTCACCAGTCATCACTTAAAGGGCCTCTTCTGATCTCATGGTTTTACTCTAATTTCTCTGGCTCTACCCTTGCATTCAGCCTACCACTGTCCTTGTTTTATTTTCTTTGAAATACTTATCACAGTATGCTGATGTCTGCCTGGACTAGACATGAGAGCACTTGTTTATTCCTAGGAACACAGGCACTCAAGAAATATTGAGTGAATGCATAAACACTATTATGGAATTGGATTAGGTGTATTACTTATGAATGATTTTTTGGATAGAGATGGTTTCTTTAGGCAAGGAACACTCATAGAGAAACCCAGCTTCAACCAAAATGATTCTCAAGGCCAGACTAAGGTTAACCAGAAGCTAAAAGCATTTATATTCCATGAAATGCCTAGCCTCTTTAAAAAACAGCTGGAATTACAAAACTTTCAAAGTGACATCTTTCCAACCTAGATGTCTTCCAAAATAAGAGTCTTAGTTAACATCCAATATTATGAAAAAGGATTCTACATCTAAAGTAATAGAATAAAAATTACATTACATCTATACCTTCTTATAACCTCAAAAGGCTTACCTTTTAAATACATCCTACTGTCATGTATATCTAAAAACAACAAATTTTTTTTTAAAAAGGCTTTCCTTTTTATTTTAAAAAAGAACATCAAATATTCTCCAAGTTTACTCTTCAAGTTTGGGTCATTATAATGAAAAAAAAAATGATGTATGGGTTTTGTATGTTGGGTAGCTATTTCTTCAATCAGACATACAATTTTAAAGAAACAGCACTTAGCAAAAGTTTAAAAATAGTAAAAACAGGGTATTTATTGCTGGGTTTGGCAAATTTATTCAAAAGAAAATTACCTTGGTAACACGTCAGTTGACATCCTTAGTCTATATCTTTTATTCATCTACATTTAGAAAAAAAAATATAGGCAGCTTGCAGAACCATAGGGAAAAAAAATAATTCACCTTCTGAGGATAAACCTAACTAATTGCCATAGCACTATTTAAGAATGTATAAAGTGGTCACTTAACCCAGTTTGATCTCCATGAGTGCTTTTTGGACATTTTATATAATTCAGTTGATATCCCTATGTTCATAGTTCTGGTAATAATAATACTGGTTTACTTTTCATTGGTGAAATAAAATTTTTAAAATGGATAATTGTGTTTTTATATTTCACATAAAATACCTGACCCAGGCATCCCAATCTGTAAAAGTTTAACAAACATTAGTTCCCTGTTGAACTCCTCACCTTTTTCATGGTATTTTTATGTTGTTGTATATTGCTATTTGAAGGTATAGAAAAACTATATTCTTTTTGTTCATTATATGTGAAAAAAAGTGGAATGAAATTAAATATAGATTCCTAATCATAGTCTTTATAATCGCAGTATGCTGAGAGGTTGAAACACTAAATATATAGATTTGGTTTTATTGAGAATGAAATGTAATGTTACTTCAATTTAGCTGACAAAATAAGAATACCAAAATTAATTTAGGGTTGAAAAATCTAAATGATAATACACTAAAGAATGATTAGTGCAACACACATTTCTGTTCATTCGTTTGAGAAAATAATCTAATTAGTACCTAGTATGTAGCAGGCACTGTTTTGGATACAGTAATGAACAAAACACATAAAAACCCCTGCCTCGTGGAGGACACATTTTGATGAGAAAAACACTAAGCTAAATAGATAAATTAGTTCTTAGTGATAAATATTGTGGAAGAAATAAAGCCAGATGTATGAATTGTCAAGATCATTGTACGGTCAGTGTAGCTAATAAAAAAAGAAAAAAGCTAGGATGGAATGTAGGATGACAGTGTAGAATGACAGTGTTGCTTAAAAAACTGTGATATCACAAAAATTATGTTTTATATTTTTAAAAAGATTAAATTGCTAACTATAATAATCATTTCAGTTCTTCATCTTAAAATTTATATTTGCTTATAAAATACACATCTGTATAACTGTGAATTGATTTTACTGAAGTTTATTCTTATTTTAGATAAAAATAAACATGATTTAAAATTTTTTATTTTTTTCACCTACACACCATGAAGGAAAATTTTCACAGTGGATGACTGAAGCACTGTTCAGTTTAAGAATCACCTGAAGTTACTTATCTCTGTCTCCATTTTATACGTGTGGACACTAGATGCAAAGAACTTAACAAGCTGTCCAAGTTCACATAGAAAGTAGCTAGAGATGAGATTTAAATTAAGATGGTTTCTAGTTTCAGCACCTTAACATTATTATACACTGTTTTTTTTTTTTTTTTCCGGTTTTAATATCTTTTTTTTCATATGGTGGTGAGGATTGAACCCAGTGCCTCACATGTGCGAGACAAGCACTCTACCCTGAGCTACAGTCTTGGCCCACCATTATTATACACTGTTTTTTTTTTTTTTTTTTAATGTAAGGACTTTAAAAATTCAGTGAATGGGAAAGAAAAGGATAATATGAAAAATAGGCTAGGAGGAAGATTAACTTACTGGCCTTAGTGTAAGCATGAGCAATTTAAGAAGTCATAAACAGGAGATTTAAGAAAATCATCCATAGGCTGGATGCCATGGTGCACACCTATAATCCCAAAGATTTAGGAGGCTGAGGCAGGAGGATTGCAAATTCAAAGCCAACCTTAGCAGTTTAACAAGGACCTAAGCAACTTAGAGAGACCTCATCTCAAAAATAAAAAGACCCGGAAATGTGGCTCAGTGGTTAAGTGTCCCTGGTTCAATCCCTGGTAACACCCCCCAACCCCCAAAAAAAGTCATTTAGTTTTAGTAATTACTAGCAGAGAGACAGAAAAGGAAAATTATAGATTTGTAAGGCTAATTAGACATAGCAAACTGGCAACTGATAGGATGAGTAATGGAAGCTAAGATTTGAAAGTATATCTGCCAAGGTTCCAGAAGAAAATTAAGACCTACAGGAAATTGAGTGACTCTTCTCAGTTCTCAGGGGTGTTTTGTAACTAGTGATTTGATACATCTTTGAAAAGTAGATTTGTTGTCAAGGCAGTAAGATTCTCTTGTTAAGTAGACTTTGTTAGGGCTAGAAATAAAAGTATTATACTCAAAAGATTTGCCTGAAACCCAGAGGAAATTTTATGACAGTTTTGTATAGGGGATTTAAAAAAAAAATATATATATATATATATATATATTTTAGTCACCCAGGGGAGGTTAGAAGAGTCAAATGTGGTCAGTGTTCAATTTTTATTGTAGTTTAATTTTCAGAAATTTACCTGGGCCTTAAACCTAGTCTAATTAAAACCACCACATGACTATTCAGTTTTATGACAAATAAAAGTTGTAGAATTTGAGATTTTTATATTTCACTAAATAAAATTTATGATGCAGCAATAAAATAGTCCCCACCATGCTATTTGTAATTCTAACTATTATTTTATTTCCAGGGAGCCTTTTATTATTTTATCAGGAGGTTTGTCATATGATACTGTAGGAAGAAGACCTTGCTTAACAGTAATGCATGGGAAAAGTACTGCTGTGCTGGAGATGGACTATCCAATTGTTGACTTCCTGACACTCTGTGAAACACCATACCCAAATGGTAAACTTTGCATCATTAAAACTCATTACCCATGAATATTAATACTGAAAACAAAGACTTCTGTGTTGTTAAGTAGTTTCCTTATCCTATTTTGCTTAATTTTTTTCTGAGAAACAGATGCTGCCTTCATTACCTTGCAAATTTTATTTCAGCAGTTTGTTTTAACAAACCTTATCAGCTCAGTATTATACATTAGTAAGGGCCTTTGAAAGTTACACTATCCATATTAAGAAACATTTTAAAATTCTGTAGAATATTAGTGTGTTGGATTAGTCAGAGTTCTGCAGAGAAGTAGAACCAATAGGAGATAAATAGAATTGTTCTTGTGGGTATTCATATTTAAATTTTGGTTTTATTGTCCATCCCTGGAAGTTTCTGTGAGCTTCTTGTTTTATTCATTTTAAAAGGGTGAAAGAATTTTCAAGTGTCTTTGGTGGTGTTGGGATTGAGCCCAGTGCCTGGCACATGCTAGACAAGGGAATTACCATTGGTCTATACTCTCAGCTCACAAAAGTGAAAGAATTTTGAATGGATTATTAAATAGATTTATCTCATCTAAAATATAAAATATAAGCTTTAAATTACATGCAATATCATATAATCAGAATATTAAAAAGTAAGAAACAATATAAAACACAAAAAATAAGTAAATGCTTATTATCTAATTTGCTGTCCTCTTGTATATTTAAAACTTTTGTTCATGCATTGTTTTCCTATTCCAGATTTTCAAGAACCGTATGCTGTTGTTGTTCTTCTAGAAAAGGATTTAGTACTTATAGACCTTGCACAAAACGGGTAAGACAATTGTGTGAGCATTTCCATCAGTATGTGGTCAACAAAAGGTTGCTTTTATCGTAGGATTAGCTATTTTATTTCTTCAAAAACTCTACATTTCTCTCTATAACGTTGATCTGTATAAAAGTCCAGACTCACCTTTCTAATTGCCCTGCCAAATTTCTCTATTATATTTAATCTCATAGAATTTTCATTTCTTAATTCAAAGTTTATTGGATTTCTTACATTTCATATGTTTCACTTCTTCAACCTGAAGTAACACAAAATTAACTTGCCCAAAATTGATTCCATCACAATTTATATATAGATAAATAATCTCTTTTAGTCTCCCTATCTCTGTTTCTCTCTGTTGCAATTGTGGGACATACCATTGTCAGATCCTTTCCAGCCTGTTCTCTTACTATCCTCAACACAGTTGCTTTATTTCTTGGGAAAACTGAGCTCTGTGTTAGATATATATCATACTTCACATCTTCTCTTATGTAACTCCCTGTAATGGACTGCTCCTCCTGTTCCACTGAACTTTCAAAATCAGCCGCCTTTTCTTTTTAAATATATTTCTGTCCTCTCCTTACTAGATATATCATATCTGATCTTTAAGTCCCCCATCACAGTTTCTTTTTGACTTATTCTGGCATTTGCTGTGTTCTATTTTTTCATCTTAGATGGTCATAAACAGGAGATTTAAGAAAATCATCTGTTTGATTTGTTTATTTTGGAAGCACATTGTATTATTTACTACTGCCTCTAAAGAAAGTATCATTAAGCATGGTTTTTATTGAGTTTACTCATTGAATGTTTCAGTGTTTCTCTATCGAGGGTGAATTTGCTCCCCAGGAAATATTTAGCAATGTCTGTGGAGGCACTATTATTAGAAGGTGAGGTGCTACTGGTATATGGTGGGTAGAAGACAGGGATGCTGCAGAACATCCACAATACACAGGATAGTTTCCCACAATAAAGAATTACCTAGTTTAAAATGTGAATAGTATCGAGATTGGGAAGCCCTGAAATAGATGAACAGTATTATTTATCTGATTTTGTAGGAAGTTCTAATTTTACTTAAGCTTATTTCCTGCTACTTATAATAAATAGTAAGGTAACAATCATAAAGTACTTTTTTCTTTTTTGAAATAATAAGACCATTTGAAAACATTTTTTTTTCCACATGACATTCCTAGAATAACTTCTTTTAATGTTGTTATAAAACATGGACCTGTGGCTCAGCTGAATAGCCAAGGCAATTTTTTCATATGTGTCACTCAGAATAGGAGGCATGAGTTTATGAAAAAGATAGGAAAAGGAGAAAGTGGAGTGAGTGGGTCCTCTCAGAGAGGAGGATGGCATGCCCTCCTGTCCTCTGGATTTATTGGGGGTTCCAAGGAAATTTCCAGAAAGTCATACCCAGGTTCACCTCTTGACTTTTGACTGGTAGCAAGATGTCATTTCTGCAGGATAACTGGAGCTCACTTTGGCCCATGCTGATCAGTTCTAATCGGATATTATGGTTAAGGGGAATTGAATTATCCTTTTCTCCCAGAGTTCTGGCATTTGGACTGTGAATCACAAAAGTCTCCCACTTCAGGGCAACTTGTGTTCTTTTGATCAGTATTTTGGGGCCTGAGTTCCTCCTGCAGAAAACAGGTTTTTTACTGAGGAATGTAACATATCCTATTGAATTAAGCCAGACAGGGCTGCAGGCAAATTATTTTTATTAAAAAAAAAAAAGGAAGTGTGTCAGGGTAAACACGGTGAACCCAATTTATTGAATTATTCCCTTAACCTTATGGTCCCCACTGCTTACAACTGCTGTTTCATATCAATATGATTTTCTTTTATTTTCCCTTCTTAGGTAACTTTTTAAAATAATTGAGACTTTGTACAGGTGATCTCTAATGGAATATAGTAAAGTCAAAGAAAATATTATGCAAGTAACCTGTGATGAGACATCTTATTTAGCAAAAGTACCAACTAAATGTATAGAAGAGTCTTGAGCTAAAGAAAGACCTGTGTTGTAAAGAGATGAAAGTTGCTTGACTGCACATTTTTGTTTGTGTTTTGTCTTCTTGTTGGGGGAGGGTTCATTTTGTAGTCTATAAAGGAATTTTCTGAAAATTCCTGTTTTAAAAACTTATTGTCAAGGATAGGCTGACTAGTAGCCTAGTATTTACAAATCATTTTTTACATTTTAGATATTTTATCCAACTTCTGTTTTTTCCATATGTTTTTAAGTAACTCAATCTAAGGAATGTCTGTGTATGTTTTTACTTTCATGATTTTTAAAAGCATTTTTTTTGCTTCTTTGGTAAAATAATTTCATATATAGAAAGCATTTAAGATGGAATTATGTTTTAGTTTGTCACTGAAACAAGATAACATTCTGGATTTAATTTTGGACTAAGGATCACACTGATGGAGAGATTAAGAATTGAAAATTTATATTGGCTTTGCTGATGTAAGGATGAGATATCTGTTATGAAAGCCATATTGCTTAATGATTAAAGGTGCAATTTAAATTCTGCTTCAAATACTAATTGGCATGCCTTTGACACATTACTGTGTCTCAGGTTTTGTTCTTCAGAAAAATGTCTATATCCTAAGTTTGTACAAGAAGGAAATGAGACATATGTATACATAGCACCTAATATAGTATATTACAAATGGTAATTACAAATAGCTGCAACTGTAACCTTTCTTTATGGTTATTTTTTAGCATCTTCTAACTATACAAAACCTCAACTTTTACATATTTGAATGAATAAAAATCAACTGAATCTCTACTAAAGTGTATATTTTTAAAAATTCTCATTGTTGTGTTAATCATACATTAAAATTTATTAAATTAATATATTTTTTCTTTTTCCTGTTGTTAAAGATATCCTATATTTGAAAATCCCTACCCTTTGAGTATACATGAGTCTCCTGTTACATGTTGTGAATATTTTGCTGATTGTCCTGTGGACCTTATTCCTGCACTTTATTCTGTTGGAGCTAGACAGAAACGTCAAGGTTACAGCAAAAAGGTATTTAACATGAGTTTCATTATTTAATGTTCATTTTATATTTTTAAATTAATCACCTTGCAGTATTTGGTAACATTGGTATCCTTTCTGTAGAAGATCATTTTTGGAAGCAAAATATGTTTAGTGTTTTCATATATGCATTGTATAAGAAGATATATATAACATAATACATAGTATATATGTATGCAAACACACATATATGAAGATATGCAGTCTACTTGCAAGTTACTTTACACAGTGATCTTTGTTTGTAGGAATGGCCCATCAATGGAGGTAATTGGGGCTTGGGTGCTCAGAGTTACCCAGAAATAATTATTACAGGGTAAGTAAAAATCTGTTTTCACCAGGTAAATCAATAATATCTAAATATAATTAAGACTACATGAATTTTAATTTATTGGGCAGGTAGAGCTTTACTTTATGTTATAACATAATAAAAAAATAAATTCTTAATCCAGAATCTACAAATTTACCCTGATTTTTTACCTTTTACTCACTTTGGTGCCTATATTATTAAAATAAAAACTTATAAATAAGAAGAAAAATATAACTTTTTGTTTTTCTTCATCACATTCTTGACTCATTTGCTTTTCATAGGCATGCTGATGGGTCAGTTAAGTTCTGGGATGCTTCTGCAAGTAAGTATTTTGAATGTTTATTATTGGCTATGTTATACCATCATTGCTTTTGTTCATACTATTTTATAATAATTGCATAATCAACATTTAATTTGAAATTTGTAGGCTATAACTTAAACTTACTGACTTATCAAGTATATGAATTTAGAATTTTTAAGAGTAAACATTTTAGTCATATTAGTAAATCAAGAATAATTCTTGATAGTTTTTTTTTTCTTCAAAATATCTTCAAACCTTCTCTTACTAAATCAGAAATAGAAAAAATAGTAATATATTCCAAATAAGCAGATAATTTTAAAGCAGGTTTGATGGCTGATCCTAAATTTATAGTATAAAAAAATCTGTGTTGTCTTTGTGAAATATATCTAATGGTGGAAAAGTAGAAAAAAAGAAAAAAATTCCTTTAATGATTAATGTTTGCAAAATATACATGGCAAACATTCATGGGAATCCAGTTAATGCAGAGTTTCTTATATTTCATTATGTATGAGTGCCTGATAATACTGGTACCTTCTCTATAGAAAATATATAGCTATATAAAAAATCATTTTAGGAATCAGTATATGTTCTGTGTTATTTTCTTTGTGTTTATACATTTCTCCCAAAATATCTTTGTCACTCATTTTTCTCAGGTTAACTAAATCCCTATGATGGCAGATTAATTGATTGATTGATATATTTAGTTGTAAGTGGACACAATACCTTTAATTTGTTTATTTTTAGTTGTAAGTGGACACAATACCTTTAATTTATTTATTTTTATTTGGTGCTAAGGATCAAACCCATTGCCTCCATGTGCTAAGCAGGTGCTCTACCACTAAGCCACAACCCCAGCTGGATTTATTTTTTTTAATGAATACCATGAGTATGCCTTTTTTCATTCAGTGAGCAAATATGTACAGTGTCTAAATGTATGATAGACTACTATAATGTAGAGTGAAAAATGAAAAGTATGAGGTGGCAAGTACAAGCTATTTTCCTTACATAATATGATTAATTAAATGTTATATTTGATTATTTTGTGTTACAATGACTGTGTATTACCTTTTTTCTAGTAACTCTACAAGTATTATATAAACTAAAAACATCTAAAGTATTTGAAAAGTCAAGAAATAAAGATGACAGACCAAATACAGACATTGTAGATGAAGATCCATATGCCATTCAGATCATCTCCTGGTGCCCAGAAAGTAGAATGCTGTGCATAGCTGGAGTTTCAGCTCATGTCATTATTTATAGATTCAGCAAACAGGAAGTGATTACAGAAGTTATTCCGGTAATAGTTTATTAATTATTTTCAGTGTCAGATGTCCAGTATTTTTAAAGTTGTGAATGATTTAGAAGATTCTGTGCAGGCTTGTAAAGAACCTGTGAAAACACCTCAGTGTTTGCATTGTCATCTCTGTGAAAAATACCATTTTCTTTGTGTATCTTTTAACTGAATACATAAATCCTTAAGTGCATTGTATGTTTCATTTAAGGAAAGCTATTATTAATATGATGTACTCTAATTTGATATTAACAGAGTTGTCATAAATTCTAAAATCATAACATATGTGTTTTTGTGTGTGCTCCCCACATATACACATTTAAAAAAAACTGAATCATAAATCTTTTCCTTTATCTTTGGACATCCTGCTAAACTTCTGCCTTTAAAAATATTCTTTCCATTCAATTTTAGGTGTGGTTGTACAAATTGTAATAAAATGAATATCAGTTATTAAGAGTAGGTAAACTGCCTTTCTTTTACAACAGATGCTTGAAGTTCGGTTGTTATATGAAATAAATGATGTGGAATCTCCAGAAAGTGAGCAGCCACCACCTTTGTCAACGCCTGTAGGAGGTTCCAATCCTCAGCCCATTCCTCCACAGTCTCATCCCTCTACCAGCAGCAGTTCATCTGATGGACTTCGTGATAATGTACCTTGTTTAAAGTAAGTTATAAAAACAATTGTAGAATTGTTTTGCATGTTCTTTTAATTTAGATAAATTGTAAGCATTAGAACTGCAGTAACATTGTCCTGTGGTAGAGTAAAATGGCAAGAGAATGACTTTTCCTGTGTTTTGCTTCTCCTCCTCCTCCACCTCCTCCTCCCCCTCCTCCCCCTCCTCCTCCTCCTCCTCCTCCTTTTTCTTCTTCTCCCCCCCTCCTCCTCCTTCTCCTCCTCCACCTTTTCCTTCTTCTCCTCCTCCTCTTCCTTCTTCTCCTCCTCCTCCTTCTCCTCCTCCTCCTCTTCCTCCTCCTCCTCCTCCTCCTCCTCCTCCTCCTCCTCCTTCTCCTCCTCCTCCTGCTAATTTTCTCTTCCTTCTTTCTGGTACATAGGCTCAGACTCCTTTTAGCTACAGTTTCGTGTAAGTTTAGCTAGTGTGAGACTTGGAATACACAATTCTACATTTTTCCCTTTTGTTATGTAATCACTACTGATTTAAACTTAAATTTGTATAAGTTCCATTAATGCCCCTTCTTTTAATATTGATGTTTTTCTCCAATTCTTTGCTAAATGTAATTTTTATAAGCATATAAAGTTCTACTTGCATTTTGAACATTTTGTGACATATTTCTGTATTTCCTTAGCAGTTTTACTAACTACAGAGCTAATGATTTAACATAACAGTTCCATATAAGTGTGCATTATCTACAAAATTAGAATACTAAAATTTGTACTTTATATTTTCTTATGTCTCTGTTTAAGTCTGCTGTCCATCACAATGACAAAATGTGAGATAATCAACTTAAAACAAGGAAAGATTTATTTTGACTCTTGATTTCAGTCTATAGTTGCTTGGTCCTATAACTTTGGACCTCTGGTGAGGCAGAACATCATGGCAGGAACATAAGATAGAAAAATGTTGTTCGCCTAATGGTGGCCAGGAAGCAAAAAAAGAGAGAGAGAGAGGAAAGAGTCTATGGTCCAGATATGCCCTTCAGAGGCACACCTCAACCTTGTTCAGCTAGACCCACACTTCCTAAAGTTTCCCACGTTCTGATAGCACCATAAGCTGAGGAATAAGACTTCAGCATATTTAGGGGGACATTTAAGATCCAAACCACCATAACCTCCAAATGTCTGTAAGCTTGTAGCTACAGGTCCAGGAGCCTGAACACACCAAATCATTTTCCATTCTGCAGAATGAGCACCATCAATGCATTGTTTCTCCATGATGAGATAGGTCAGAGGAAATAGGACTGACAAGACAAGCAGTACTATTAGATCAGTGTTACAAGATCCCTTACCTTGGCATCCTAATAAAAGTTAAAAAACAGTGGGTGAATCTTTATCTTATGTTCTTGTATTTTTCCAGTTTTTTTTAACTGACTTAAACAACAAGGAGAACAGTTAAAGTAGCAACCAAGAGCAATTGTTACAGTCCCTAGCCCACAAACCAAATCTGCAGTATCCAAATCAATGTAAAGATAATAATCAACTTAGTTCTGGAATTAATGGGTTTCTGTTACTGTTCATGGACCTAAAACTGTGGTATGACCATCTTTATTTTTTGAGAGGACATTTCATAGCTGTGATGAAAAGTGTTGCACAAACTATTAACTTTCTGTAATGATTTAGTAGAGTATCACTTAATGCAGGAATGCCTTTAAGCTGGTTATTTCAAGGAAGCCTTGATAGTCACAAAGTATCATTTGCCAATCCATTAATATTTGGGAGGAGAAAAGAGTCTTTTTTTGTTATTTACATTAACTGTTAACTTTTATATATGGATATACTTTGCCTGTCCTGGGAATGAATATACACACAATTATATAAAAACATTTTTCTTACTCCTAAAAAATTAATGTGACTATAATTTGAATTGGATTCTCCTTTTGAATATGATTATGGACTCTTAGTGCTTTTTTATGGACAGTTTGTTTTAACTTACTGAATTTGGTTAACTCCCTGTGACTTCATCACAGCTGGCTGGAGAGAGCTTCTTTCAAGTTTGTGTCTGAGTCTTCACACCACCTCAGCACTTGTGTGACCATCTGTGATTTCTGTCAAAAATATAGATAATCTAGGCATTTCTCAACATCTTTCTGCGCTCACACATGTGATCATCTTTAGGAAGCCCTGGATCCTTTTTGTAGAGAATAGAATAAAAGAATAAAATATGATTTCTAGAAATGTGTGCAACATTATGTATGACAAGCAGTGTATTATAATGTCCACTCAGTGACAAGAACTAGAAAGAATTTTTTTAAAAAAAGTAAAGCCTTTATAGTTTTCATTGGATGTTTGCATTACTCTGTAATGTAACCAGTGACTTTTTAACTTTGTCCCCAAGTCACTTTTCTAAAATTGATTAACCTGAAATTATTTCTTTATTTTACTTATTTACAAAAATAAGTTCAAAATGAACGTTGAAATTACTAACTGATAAAACTACTACACATACAGTAAAATATAGTATTATGTTTTTCTCTTAGACCTTCAAGCACATTTCTCAAATAATATGTAGTCTAATTACTTAGGTTTTAGTCCTTGTGATAATTTTTTCTTCTATTGTAGTTATTATACATTGTATGTAGTTCAATTATTTAAGTTTGTTTGTATTTTTGAGACTATTAATGTTTTAATTAAGAGTTCTTTTTGGAAGCAGCATTTGATATTAGATAAGAGTATCTTGAGATGAATGGAATGTCAAGCAACCAGTTTAAACTTTAAAAATAGATATAAGACAGTCAAAGTATAATTATTCATAATTCCTTACAGGAGTCTTACGATAATATTATTCTTTCCTAATCTATATTATTTAGCACATTAAAAAATAAAATATTTTCAGGTGGTGACTAAAAATATCACCTTAATTATTAATGAAGGTAAATGATTACAGTTAGCACAAGACCCTGGTAAGCTTCCTGACTTCACCTGACCTACATACTGAAGCAGCCTTGTCTTGCCAGTCACTGCAGCCTTACACACACTGCCTTTGTAGAATCAACAGGAAAAAATGCAGCCCCTGGGCAGACTTGCTCCCAAGTGGACAAGGTGCAAGGGTGAAAAAGTGGGCCTCATTAATTTTTTTTCTTATTTTACAGATTCATAATGCATTCCACCTTGCCAAGGGTAGAGTTAAAGACTGGGTAGAGAGGAATCTAGGAGTCCCACTGACACTCAAGAAAAAAATGCTAGCAGATGTAGAGAAGCATTGCTACTGATTTGACTCCATGTGTGTTTGTATCTAAGCTTTCTACATCTGATTTTTTTTTGATAGTTAAATGAGTAAAAATTCTTATTGATTTAATATATAATGTTATTTATTTATATATCAAGCCATCAATTTTAATTATAATACTTAATATTCTAATAACCTGAATTTTTAAAACAGCAATTTAAATACATCAAAATGAAGCACATCATAAAGTAATGACTGTGCTTATACAGTTAGGTTATTTAAGTCCCTTATTTTGAATTTTCACTAGAACTTCAGAGTAACAATGTATGGGAACATCATAATCATTTGGACTGCATAACTCTATGTATTTTTTAAAAATTATTTCCCAGTCTGGATAATAATTCAGGTATTCATTAACTTTATATCGTTTTAATCTGAAGTCCTAGAGGCATTCTGGATTCTCCTTTTGAATATGATTATGGACTCTTAGTGCTTTTTTATGGGCAGTTTGGTTTAACTTACTGAATTTGGTTAACTTCCTGTGACTTCGTCACAGCTGGCTGAAGGGAGCTTCTTTCAAGTTTGTGTCTGAGTCTTCACAACACCACCTCAGCACTTGTTTGTTATATTTCCAGAAGTTAGAAATATAACAAAAATTGTTGTTAAAATATTGCCAGGTACAGTGGCACATATCTGTAATCCCACCAGCTCCGGAGGCTAAGGCAAAAGGATCTCGAGTTCAAAGCCAACCTCAGCAACAGCAATGTACTAAGAAACTTAGTGAGACCCTATCTCTAAATAAAATACAAAATTGGGCTAGGGATGTGACTCAGTGGTTGAGTGCCCCTAAGTTCAATCCCAGTACCCTCTCACAAATATATATATATATATATATATATATATATATATATATATATATATAATATAATACTGAGATCTTATATAAAATGCCTTTACATAATTGGTATTTTTTAGGAAACATTTTTATTAGTATATTCTTAATCATACTGAATAATGGTTTTTGTTACATTGTTTTCATAAATGCAAATAACATTCTTTGATCATATTTACCTCTCATTGCCGTCTCCTCCCTCTGATCACCTTTCTGGTTATACTAGCTTCCCTGATACATTGATGTTATCTATTTTTTCCTTTAGATTCCAAATATGAGGGGAAGAATAAAAAAAAAAATTGCCTCTAGTCTGGCTTATTTCAGTTAGCATTGTAATCTCCAGTTCCATCCATTTTCCTGCAAATGACATAGTTTTGTTCTTCAACATTTTAAAAGTCATTATTTGTTACTTTTGCCAATAACATTTAGTTTGTATTTAGGTATTTTATGTTTTCATTTAGGTATTTTATGTGTCATTTTACAAAGAGCATTTTGAAACTGTGAGATCTCAACACCATTTTAACATTTAAAATATATTTGTACAAATAATAGAGGATTTTTTAATAAAGGTTCAACAGCTTGTCTTTTACAAGTAAACAAATATACTAATAATGTTAAAATTATAACTTGCCTGTGCACCATCGTAGACATCAAATATAACAATCAATTTTCTATTTTAAAAATATATTATGACATTTCTAATAAGGGGGAGGATTTTGCATCAGTTTTGAATTCTTTTTTTTTAAGAACTTTTTGTTTCTCTTAACTAAAATGAAAATTCTGTGAGTTATGTGTCCTGATCACTTAAAAGTCTTAAATGTGCCTTTACATGCATTTCAAAAATTAATCCTAGAAGGCCTGTTTCTGCTCATGAGAACCTAATCTGAGGTGTGCAGTTTATCTGCTGGAATGGAAGCACTTTTCAAGTTTATCTTCTATTCCTAGTTCATTTAAGGAAAAACCAGCCCACTCCAACTCTGTGTCTGTGGCTATATCAAAGCTGTCTCTGAGTAGAGAGGAAATGCCTCAGTTATTACTTCTCACTTGAGAGCAACAGCTGTAGCTAATCAGTGGGTATTTCTCTGAAAAGAATTAGAAATTCCATATAAACCAGAGTATAGTTCTTACTGCATTGCTAGCAAACCTTGCACAACAAAAAAGTGACTGTAGCTCAGTTCATCTTAGAGTACCATCAACAATTCACATTTTCCCTGAAGTCTGGACAGCCTATCTTAGCTAATAAACGTCATCAGAAGATGAGGTTTCAAAGTATGTTTTTCAATTCCACCTGAAGTTTGCTGATACAGGTATGACAGGTGTTGTGTCAAAATATTTAGTCCTCAAAAAGTCTCATGTTCTTAACAACCTTTTCTTCACATGCTTATCACAAAAGTTTAACCAACATAAGTTTAACGTGAACTTATTATTGGTGAGATTTGGGAATACATTTAGTGGCCTGCTGAATGTTTCACTTGTAAGGTTCCTACCTTCGCCTCAAACTTAAAAACTCCATAGTACCCTAAAACTACCTCTTCATCTTGATATCTGTATTTATTTATTTTTGATCATAGAATCATTGACTTCTTTTCCTCTTTTGCCCTACCTCTAATCAGTCTTCAGTTCATTCATGTGTTCAGTAAATATTAAATACTTCTTTTGTACCAGAGTATTAAAAATAGCTGCAAGTTTTCTATCTTCCTGAAACTTAAAAACCTTGTTCTTATTTAAAAGTATATTTCAGCTATCTTTTTTAGAATTGTTTCACATCAGAAAAATCAGTTTCCTAATTAGTATCTCTGTTCCACTCCACCGTGCATATGTCTAACAGTTTAATCTTCCTGAAATATTTTATAAGCTAACATTGGCTTTTAACTCTTTAGTAATGAAAATACTTTATGTAATTTGACCTTCCACAAAATGCTTTTATAAGCACTCAGTTTCTTTAGACCATGATTATGTAGTACTCTTCGCACTTTCTAGATGAGAAGCAGCTGATAAGTTTAAGAGCCAGGACTCAAAACTTTTCAACAACATCAAACCTTTACCACTTACGACCCTCTGAAGTCTAACCCTTATCTCTCTTACAGTACTGTTTTCTAAATTACTGCACACATCTACCAGTGTGACCAAATTTACACTTATTAATCTTTAAATATGAGTTTTGTCGTTCTTTATCTTGTAGGCATATGCTTTGCAAGAGTAATATTAGCACTAATCAGCAAAGTCTGTGCAATCAGAAAGTACTATCACCTCACAGTCAAAGAATTTGGGGGTTTTTTTGTAGTAAAAATATTCACACAAATAAATAGATGGCATTTGCTTTTAACTTGTTCTTATATGTTTTTGCCAGTTTTCATTTAGGGAAAACATTTAAGTTTTAGGTCGGCCTTTTGAATTTATAGTTTTTCCCTATTAACTTCTGCATTGCCGCTTCTCCTCATCCATGTCCCCACCCTTCCTTGAAACTCTTCTCTCCCTCCCTCTCTTTCCTGCCTCCCCCTCCTTTTCTCTCTTTCGCCTTGATCCCTGCCATCCTCCCTAACTTTATGTGTGGAGTTTACATATAATTTCTAATTTTTGTTATTTATGTACATGTTTAGTCTCTCCAACTGGATTAAATGCTTCTATAGGACAGGACTCTCATTTTTACATTTAAAAATTAGTATAGTTTCATATGTAGTTGTTTTTGTATGACTATTTATATATGGCTTTAGAATTATGTAGGGTAGTAAGTTAATTGAAAATGTGCTTAAAAGATAATATGTTTTCCCTTTTTTTCCAGAGTTAAAAACTCACCACTTAAACAGTCACCAGGTTATCAGACAGAACTAGTTATTCAGTTGGTATGGGTAGGTGGAGAACCACCACAACAAATAACCAGCCTGGCAGTCAATTCTTCCTATGGACTGTAAGTATAAGATATGCTTTTCTCAGTCTTTCCATAGTACTCCATACACCATTTTATTTTTAAAAATAGAAAGGGCTATCTTTGTTTTATTGTCACTTAAAATGTTGTTATATAACTTTAATTTCAAACTAAGCTCAATGTTTATTTGGAGCATAATTTTGTTCTGGATAATTTACCCTGGGTATATATACACTGCTTCCTATATAAAGTAAATATCTCATGGACCAATGAATTATTTGAGATATAGCTTTAAGGTCAATAAATCATCTCCTTTAAGTTTCATAAATTCAAAAGGCATTGGAATAGCTTAATAAATTGTTCATCTATACTACACATGTGTTTGTTTTATTTACCAATTCATGCTTTCAAGTATTAATTAGTGTGAATTATTATATGTAATTTTTATTTCAATATGCTAGGTTTATAAAGCATATGTTATTTTTCATTTGTTTCAAAACACTGTAGTATAAGAAACTTGTAACTAACTATTCAGTCCCAGAACTGTTTATCACATGCAGGTTACTGTTTTTTTCCTATGTGTATCCCTAGGGTCTTATTCATCTTTTTTGATCTTAGTAGCCACCACCATCTTTTCTATTTCTTATAATTGTACATTCAACTAAATTAGCTATAGTCTGAGTTAGTATTCTGTGGTATCTTGTATTTGTTGCCATAAATGTAAGAGCACAAACCTCCTTCTTTTAAATCTTTATTGCCCACAACCAAAGAGTGAACAAACAAGGAATAAAAAAAGAATAGCAAGTTTCAAAGGAAGTTGCAAATTGATTGATTACACATCTCCCTGCACTAATAGTTATGTTTTGTTTGGCACTTTCTGTGTATTTTTAAATTTTGAATTAGTTGCCAAGCCTGTATAATTTGTAAATCCATATTTAAAACTTCAACTGAGAAGTCTAATTATCTGGCCACTGTGTACACTCACACACAACATTAGTCAATTGACTCAAGTTGGAGTTTTTTTTCTTTAGGTGCATCATGTAGTCTTCAGTCACCATGGATTTACCCATCCTCTTATGCTACTTATGTAACTCTTCTATACATGGCAGCTTTCAACTTCTGACTTAAGATATCTTAAAAAAAATAATGATCCTTTATACATAGTTGATTGGTTTGTAGTTATTGACATAATTGAGAAAGCATTTTGAACACCCTGAGAGGGAGTCTTCTAAGACTTAATGCTATTTGTTTTTTATTCTTGACTACAGAGAATTACCAAAACTTTTTACCCACTGTGAAGTCCCCTGCTTTCCTAGGAGAAGGAGATGTCTCCTCTAAGGGCTTCAGAATACTCTCAAGGCAAAAAAAAAAAATAGGTGTTAACATTGCCTCATATGGGAAGTTTGTATCTCTGAATAAATTTCAACTCTTGTGCCAAATATTTTTCATAAATGATGTTGATAATTGATCTAATGATATTGGATGATGAATGTCTACAGAAGATATGAACAATTTCAAGAGAAGGCACATGTAACCTGTATTTCTATACCCACAGCTTTCTTTTGTTTCAAAGAAGAATTTTCTGAAAGACCCATTTTTCTTCCTTCTTCAACCTTATAGACCACAGTACATTTTATTGTAAGTAATTTTTTGTGCTAAAATGTTTACTCTTTTTCTATTTCCAGGGTGGTTTTTGGCAACTGTAATGGCATTGCTATGATTGACTACCTCCAGAAAGCAGTACTGCTCAATCTGGGCACCATAGAATTATATGGCTCTAATGATCCTTATCGGAGAGAACCTCGATCTCCTCGTAAATCTCGACAACCTTCAGGAGGTAAAAGAAAAAAGTCCTAGCTTTAGGATTTGTGTAAATGTTGGCTTACTTTTGTAAATAGAACCACTTCTCTGAGGTACGTAGTTTATCTGATTTAGATTATCTGTATAAAAAGACATCAGTGCTACTTTTGTTTTGTATTGTCATTAGGTTTTGCTTTTGCTTTTAATGTGCTAGGATTTTATTTTTTTATTTATTTTATTTAATGTTGCAAAAGAATTACCGACTTCTTCCACTAGATTATAATAACAGAAATATTTGTCTCATTATTGTAGGAAAAAAATTAATTTTGAAATTTTGTCCCTTTTGTTGTGTGGTCTCTGTTTGAGTAGTAATTTATTGTTTTACTTATTTAATTGAAAGGAATCCTTTTCATGTGAAAAAAAAAATAGATGGATTCAAAAGTGATTTGAATTCTAAAAAACAGAAAATTCTCAAATAATCTTGATTTAGTACAAGTCCAGATTTGTTTAGAATTCTTTATAGCATTTTTTTGTGCTTTGTAGATTTTTGACACTAATGTCTCATAGAACATATGTATAGTTAACTATTCAGTATTTCTTGCTTTTTTTAACTTCATAACACACAGTAAATGGCATTCAATATATGGTACACAGGATATACTATTGAGACTTTCAGCAATAATTGGCCTGTGGGCTTCAGATTATTCTAGGCCTGTCTACAAGACCAGGGATTGAGAAGAATTCTTTTTGAGGCATGTTAACTCATTTGCAGAATACCTCTATGCATTGGAGTACAATTTGAGAAATTCTGGTCTTTACTTCCTAACTCAATTCTGAATTCAAATTCTCCCTGAGCTAGTGGTATAACTCCAGGTAGAACACTTGCCTAGGCTTAATCTCCATCAACATAAAAATTTAAAAATAAAATAATAAATAAAGCTCTCCCTGATTTTTTTTAGTTGTTCTCATTACATGATTCAGCTAAAATTGCCAATTTTACTGTGTATAAAAAAGGGGCAGAGGTGAGGGATATAGACTTTCTATCATTTTAGCTTGATGGTTGAATTTCTCTTTTTAAGTTTTGTGTTTTGTTTTGTTTTTTTTTATTCCACGTTTCTGAGTGCAATCATTTTGTCATGTAAAATCTTCAGCAGAGATTGCTGTTTAAACCATGCCATTCTAGTATCTCTGTCTCCTTTTTTTTCCCCCTTCCCTTTTTTCTTGCTTCATTAAGGTATGCTGATTGTGACTTCTTGCATGTGCGGTATTTCTAGCTTATATTCTGAGTCTGTGAAAAAGCTGCGTTCTTCTTTTTTAAGTAAGTTATTTGTCTTGGCATGTCTGTTCTTTGTAAAATCGTTTTTGTTTGTTTTAAATTCATTTATTTTTAAGAGTCTCTTAAAACATTTTTTATCAAAAGCACTGTATTTATTACTTAGTTCACTTCAATAAAATATGAAAACAGCTATTTAAATGCTATGTTTAAATCCAATGGACAAAACAGAGAAAATAATATTAAATGTTACAAGGTTAGAACATTGCCATCACAGAAGTTTTTCTGGAAGATAAAAACTTTAATTTATAAATTATAATTCTTTAATTTATAAATTATAATTCTTTATAAATCTCAGATAAAAATTTTACTAGTCCTAAAATTAATTTCTTTTGTTCTTTAGACCCTATAGTAGTTTAGATAAAATTACTGATAATTAACCCTAAATTGATTTAAGAATAACACTTTCACCCTGCAATTAAATATTGTTAAATTTTACAACATTCTGCTTTATTCTCTAGTAAACTCCATAATATTACTTATTATTTGCTTTATTTCAAATTCAATTTGGTGTTAGGAATAGGAAAACTATTTGAGTTTTTCCTTATTAATTTTAAGACATTTACCCATTTTTATTGTACCCCATTTTATCAATAATTAGGGTTTTTTTAATAAAGACTTAAAGAATTATTTCAAAATAAGATTTAAATAACATTATAAGATATTTGTACCCCTAATTCCAAAAGGTTTTTATTTATTTTTCAAATAAAGTTAACTATAGAGTAATTTGTACTAATATTCTTTGCACTGATATTAAAAAAATAACATTCTTATTAAATGTAGCTTAATATTTCTTGAGGTTTAGCCAAAGTGGCATCAAATTGTTTTTCAATCTATTTTTTTTAATTTTGTGATAGTCATTTATTTATTTTTGGCACTGGGATTGAACCCAGGGACACTTTACCACTGAACCCATCCCCAACCCTTATAATTTTTTAAATTTTATTTTAAAACAGAATCTCTTATTATTTGCAGAGGCTGGCCTTTAACTTGCAATCTTCTGGCTCACTCTTCCAGGTAGTTAGGATTACAAGCACCACAGCTACCCTTCAATCTATTTTTAATAGAACTGGTTGAAGACACTTTTTGTTGCTAATATGTACTGCTGTATTTTCATTAGGAATCTAGTGTCAGTGAATTTATTTTATAAGACAAAACATTACTACTTAAGTTTGAATGTGTTATAGCTATAATACAATACAGTTGAACTACTGACTAAAATATCAACTGTGTTTTCATGGTAGAAATTATAAAACAGACATAGGAACAATTTATATATTTCAGTTACTTATATGTCTGCTAAAATTCTGATTCTACTAAAACTGGAAAATAGGTTTATATTTGTCTTCTTTAATTGCTCACTTTACCATTCAGAAACTGAAGGACACTAGGGAAATTTTCCTTCTGAATATGTTTCTTTAGTCCAAATCAAATCTATTTAATAAGGTGGAAGTGATAGACACTTGGGGAGAAGTGTTTGGTCTTACTCTCTGAAGTCAATTATCTTAGAAACAAAAATCTGTATCTGTATTTTGCAAATAACTTTTTCAAAATCTGTAGGTAGAAGTCTCTAAAACTAAAGGGTTTTTGTTGTTTTGTTTTTGTTAGTTGCAATTATTTTCAAGTCTTCAGTATTTTTAATAAGATAGAATAGGAGAAATAGCTATAGTGCCCAGTACTACTGCTTAAAAATTCTCTCTCTCTCTCTCTCTCTCTCTCTCTCTCTCTCTGTGTGTGTGTGTGTGTGTGTGTGTGTGTGTGTGTATGTGTGTGTTTGTATGAGAGAGAGAGAGAATGAAAAAATACACAGTGGTCCCACTTATCTGCCAATGACACATTCCAAAATCCCTGAAGGATACCTCAAACCATGGGTTGTTCATCTGTGATGAAGTTCAATTTAGAAATTAGGCATGGAAAGAGATTATCAATAACTAATACTTAAAGAAATGACTCTAACAATATACTGGATTGTTATGTGTATATGCTGTCGTTCAAAATACCTTATTGTATTTTCTCATCCTTTTTCTTGTGATAATATATACTTAAACACTTTGTGGCTTTTCTTTGGCAAATTGGAATCACTATTCTTGCAAATTATTTGGCCACAAGTATAGTGACACTGAGGTAGCAAATATGATAGCAGAGAGAGCTGTGAAGTGACTGACTAGCAGATAGCATATATATTATTCTGGCATAATGATTCACAAAAATCTGGGCAGGACAGTGTAATATTTCATTATGCTCATCATAACAGCACCTCTTTTAAAATTTATGAGGTATTTTTAGAATTTTTCATGTAATTTTTCAGATTTCAATTGACCACAAGTAACTGATACCCTAGAAAGTGGGTAAAGAGGGACTTCTGTTATGTGTATGTATACATGAAATAAGGGACACATCCAATAATGTATAAAATATTGGACAGATTAGTAAGTTTTGTCTCAAATTATAAGACTGATTTCCAAATAATGGGAAATATAACAAAACATTGTTCAAATAAAAACATGGTGATGGAAAGATTAGAACTATGATTTAGGGATGACTTTAAATGGTGATTAAAAAAAATGAACTGGCCATAATTTTCCTGTGTTCATATATGAATACCTCACCAGTGAATCCACATCATGTACAACCCAAGAATGGGATCCTAATTAGAATAAATTATACTCCATGTATATATAATATGTCAAAAAATATATTCTACTGTCATGTATATCTAAAAAGAACAAATAAAATGATAAATAAAAACTGAAGTAAACTTAAAAAAAAAAGGTTGAACTAAATAACTTTGTTTCACAGCTCCCTGCTAAAATAAATTATACTTTTTTGAAAATATGAACACTAACAGAAATTAAAGCCTAATCTACTTTATGTAAGTAAGACGGACTAAGCAATAATAAAAGGATATCAAGGAAAATCATGAATTTGAAAGATACCCTCAACTGTGTATATTTTTATAAATCAGTTAATTTGATTTACAAATATATCAGAATGCTAGCATAAGCTGCTATGTAACTGACACCTTGTATACATATAAAAAGTAGAGGTGATCAATAAAAATCAGCAGACATTCACTAAAAGTAAGTTGTAGCAAAATCACTTTTTTTTAATCTGGTAAATTACATTAATGACTATGGCAGCTTGTCGACATAATAGTTCCTGAAGTTAAGTATTTGATAAGAAATTCTGTGATACGTTTATGAATCAAACAGGTGGTAAATGCCTTGTACACAATTCCAAGACTGATTATACCATGAGTCAGCAAAATACTATCTGCAGGACAAATCTGACACACTGCCTGAGATTTTAAATATAGTTTTATTGGAACAGAGCTATGCTAATTTATGTGTTATCTGTGGCTATTTGGGCTACAGCATTAGAGCTGAGTAGTTTCAATAGAGATTTTAGATTGAAAAGCCTAAACTATTTACTGTCTGCATATTTATAGAAAATGCTTGCCATCGCCCTCAGGTTAAATAATGGTTATCTACTGGGTCAGTTTGTGGTCTAACATTAACTTTGTTGTGTGTGTGTGTGTGTATGTGTGTGTGTGTCTCAGATAATAAATACATTATGTTGAATAATACTTGATAATTGAATTTTATAAATAGTAAGTCAAGGTTCCTATCTGAACATTTGAAAGAGATGTGCTTACTACTATTTAAAGGGTAACTCTTGAATTTGATGGCAGAATGGATTCAAAAAGTTATTTATAGGTAGAAACAGTAAACTTAAACCAAAGAAATGAAATTTATCAGTAAATAAATATTAAGAACATTGTGTAATATATTAAAATTGACTGTATATGTACAGAACAGAGAAAACTAGCTGAAGGATAAATAGTTGAAGATTTTTTTTTAGTTTAGTTAGGCAAAGCTGAATGTAAATCTGAGTCCTCGTTTTAAGTGTAAGATACTAGAAAAGATACTTCTGAGGCTCTGTGTCCTCAGTTGTAAAATAGAGATGAATCACTGTCTTATAAATTTAATATAATGAAGTGGCATAGATCATGTATCTAATCTTGTGACTGTAACATTGTTCACGCTCAAGTGGTTGTTTTACATCTACTGAATACAACTTAATGTGTGCCAATGTGACAAAACTACTGAATACACTAAAGTGAGACTGTAGAATATTTAAAATTAATACTTCGAGTCTTAGTATCTAAGTTTTCATCCCTATGTTAGATACCTTAAACACTCAGTGCTTCAGCTTTTTCTTATGTAAAATGAGGGTAACACTCTCTTCCTTATTGATTTCTGGAAGGGTTAAATGAGTTAAGAACTTAGAAAAGAATCTGCCATGTAGTAAGTGATCAGCCAGTGCTGGATATGAACAGCTAGCTAAGGGGGCTGCTGTACATTTTGAAAACTACTAGTAGGAATGTTTGTTAAAAGCATCCTGTCAGTAACAGAGTAGTTGATTTAAATTATATACTGTGAAATTCTTTTATGTGTATTCACTCAATTATTTAATGACATTTGAGTACCTACCATGTACCATGCACCATTATAGAAAATAAAACAAACAAAATCCTCTGTCCTCGAGGAACTCACATCCTAGTGAAAAATGCAGCAATAAGAAGATAAGTAGTATGTAGTAGGTTACATAATAATGCCAAGGGGAAAATAAATAAAGGAATGGAGATTTGAAATAGATGAGGGTATTAAATTTAAGATGAGTTACTGGGTAACTTTGGAATGAAGATTTAAAATGTACAACAAATAGAAATTGCTCTGAAGTTGTATATATGTGGAATTCAAAGGACAATGTGGACTTGGTATGTAGAAGTAGAGAGAGTAAGAGTGATGGGAAAGTAGGTGAAGGGGGACAGAAAATAACATCAGAGAAATAAGAGGATATCATACACCATGGGATTGTATACATAAACTGGCCATATACAGTTGGACTTTGACTTTTATTCTTAGTGAGATAGAAGGCATTGAATGGGGTTTTTAACTGATTTAATGGTCATTGTAATACATTTTATATTTAAATTAAGTCTGAGTTTTATCTGGTTACCTCAGATTAAAAATTCCTTTATTTATTACAATGACCATTAAATACAGCTTCCTAAATGTTTCTTCTTGGATGATTTTAAGAATGATAACCATATCATATGGTACATTTTGTAGTATTTCATATGATTTATATAGTACATATAGTATATTATTGACAAAAATTCTCTGTGTGTATTATTTTTGAATATTAATTCCTACGTACATTGTAATCACTACAGAGTATATTATCACTACTGTTTAGATACCTGCTATCTTAAGTGTTCTTTCAAAAAAAAGATTAGATAAGCAAACTATTTTATCAAATATTAAGTGAAATCTATTACATGTTGTGGGAGGCCGGCTAGCATGTGACCCTATTTATCTCCTCTTCTGATTGGTGTGGCATCCTCCGTCACTCTGTGATCTGGTTGCCTATTTAACCCAGACAGTAGCCCAATCTTTAGGTTCCAGCAACTGTGTCTTCGTGCATGGGCGTGCCTTCCCCATGAGTTGAGCTATGCTCACCTGATCCTTTGTAATATTACCCCTTGCCCTGTTTAGGATAGAATTTTCCATGGAAACACCCTTTGTGTGTCCCCTTCTCTTCCTCTGCACTTGGGTGTGGCCTTCCTAGATGTCAGTCACCCTGCTGACAGCAGACATCATGAAGCTAGACTCAGCCCCTTGAAACCTGATCCCTTGCCTCATTTGAATGGTTTCTCCTCAATAAAAAGGGTCAGCTCATGCGGGCTGTCTCTTTCTGCGGACCCTTAAGGTCAGAGGAGCCATCACAGGAACTCCAAAGAAAAAGGTATTTCCGTCTCTCGTGTGGTTATTTCGTGCACCCCAGTTCCCCTGGAGTGACCCCTGAGTGTTTTAGTCGTGAGGATCCTGGCAACATGTATCATTTTAAAACTGTAAGAACTAGAGTTTCCCCCCCCCAAAAAAAAATAAAACTATTAGTTTGAAAAGACTGTTTTTAAAAAAGAAAAAAAAATGTACTACCGATTCATTGATTCTCATTCCAGAACTTGAGTACCTAATGAAAACAAAAAATATATAATTCAGACTGGAAAACACTTGTTATAAACCCAATTCAGAACTTGGTATTCTATGAAAATGTTGCCCTAAACATTTTTTTAAGAGACCATAGAGATTATAACATCACGTCTTTTACCAAAGTAATGTGAAATATACGAGTTATACGTATCCATGGGTTGATGTGACACCCAACTTCTGTGGCCTAATGAAGCCCCTTTTCTCTTGCCCAGCTCCTCCAAACTCCTGATATGTTTTCATATATAAGTAATTTTTAAACGATTTGCTGGAATTTTTTTTCATTTCAGTCATGAGACAAGTTCGTACTTCTTTTTTATCTTGTATTTTACCATACCTTTTAGTTCTTATCTTTTTTATTATTATTTTTATTTATATATGACAGTGGAATGCATTACAGTTCTTATTATACATATAGAGCACAATTTTTCATATCTCTGGTTATATACAAAGTATGTTCACACCAATTCGTGTCTTCATACATGTTCTTTGGATAATAATGTCCATCACATTCCACCATCATTTCTAACCCCCTGCCCCCTCTCTTCCCGTCTAACCCCTCTGCCCTATGTAGAGTTTGTCTATTCTTCCCATGCTCCTTCTCCCTACCCCACTATGAATCAGCCTCCTTACATCAAAGAAAACATTTGGCATTTGGTTTTTTGGGTTTGGCTAACTTCACTTAGCATTATCTTCTCTAACTCCATCCATTTACCTGCAAATGCCATGATTTTATTCTCTTTTATTGCCGAGTAATATTCCATTGTGTATTTAGTCCACATTTTTGTTATCCATTCATCTATTGAAGGGTATCTAGGTTGGTTCCACAGTTTAGCTATTGTGAATTGTGCTGCTATAATCATCGATGTGGCTGTGTCCCTATAGTATGCTGTTTTTAATCCTTTGGGTATAGACCAAGGAAGATAGCTGGGTCAAATGGTGGTTCCATATCCAATTTCCAAGAAATCTCCATACTGCTTTCCATATTGGTTGTACCAATTTGCAGTCCCACCAGCAGTGTATGAGTGTACCTTTTTCCACACATCCTCACCAGCACTATTGTTGTCTTCATAATAGCTGCCGTTCTGACTGGAGTAAAATGAAATCTTAAAGTAGTTTTGATTTGCATTTGTCTAATTGCTAGTGATGATGAACATTTTTTCATTTACAATAGCCTCAACAAAAAATACTTGGGAATCCACTTAATGAAAGAGGTGAAGATCTATATAACAAAAATTACAGAACCCTAAAATAAAGAAATCTAAGAGACCTTAGAAGATGGAAAGATCTACCTTGCTCTTGGATAGGCAGATTAATATAATCAAAATGACCATACTTCCAAAAGTACTATACAGATTTAATGCAATTCCGATCAAAATCCCAATCACATTTCTCATAGAAGTAGAAAAAGCAATCATGAAATTCATCTGGAAAACTAAGAGACCTAGAATAGCTAAAGCAAACCTTATCAGGAAGAGTGAAGCAGACAGCATGAGTATACTCGACCTTAAACTATACTACAGAGCAATAGTAACAAAAATGGTATGGTATTGGTACCAAAATAGACTGGTAGACTAAGGGTACAGAATAGTTCTTGTCTATAGCATAAAATACCTTGCTAAACTTTCTACTAAGAATTTAAGCCATTCTATAAAATAGATGACTGGTAAAGTTTATATATATCTGAAAAGAAAGTATTTTGTTAAAGGTTTTTAAAAGCTGATGTTACAGTTTTTAAGAGATTTTCTCTTCAAGATAAGTAATGTGCAATATTTTTAATATAGCAAATTTAGAGATATATTTTCTTATTTATCATTCAGAAATATTTAAATAAAGTGTTTAAGACATACCTAGTGGAAACCATATTTAGGTTTGAGGGTCCTTACGATGTAAAAATTATCAAACTTATTTGATATGTATATATTCTCCCTTGAGGAATTAAAAAAGAATTATATTATATGCTCCCACATCTCAGATTTTAAAGAAAGCCTTGCATTATGTCTACTGTCCTTTAAGAATATCAGATTATCTCAATTGGAAACTCTGTTTACAAAAAAAAAACTATATTTTTATTTGTTTAATTGAAGGCTATTATATTATTTTGAGATAAGTTATATCAAAATGTTTCTATCTGAAACTTTATAAGCATAGTATCACTACTGATAATCTGTTAATCTTACTACCAAGTTCTTTTCAATAGATAGTGAAATCTATCCTATAAATACATGACAAACCTACTTATATAAATTTGTGGTGTGATTTCTTTTTTTAGCAGGTCTATGTGATATTAATGAAGGGATTGTAGTCCCAGAGGATCGCTGCAAATCTCCAACTTCTGGTAATTTGTCTTTTTATTGTATTAATAATTATGATTTTATATAAAGTAAGACAATATATCAGTGTATTGTTTTATAGATAAATATTTAAAAATATACCTAAAAGATACTAGTCATGTATTCTAAAAATCATAACTATTCTTTGCATTCTGATTAAGTAAAAAGAAATACAAATACTACCATATAATATCCATAGTTTTTACCTTCTATTATACTTTTAGAGAAAGATAAGATATATATATTTGGTGCCTCTAGGCACTTTTGGCATTATTTTGAAGAACAGAGAATAATCAATGAAAAATTAATAATGTATTATGCTTCTCTGGATTCCTTGAATAATATCCATTTAAATGTAATGAAAAGTGTTGTTGTTTTTGTTGTTGTTGTTGGGTGTGCGTGTTTTGCTTTTTGTTTTTCTTGTTTTTGCAGTGCTGAGGATCAAACCCAAGGTCTTGTACATGCTAGACAAGCACTCTGTCAATTGAGCTACATGCCCATTCCTAAATATTATCAAAGACTTTTGATACTTAAAATTAGTGATGACTGTGAATGATTAGAATAATTGTAAACTAGATTTGATTTTGTTTTTGACCAACGTAACTTCTGAACTATTTACAGTTTTATTAAAGCAGTTCACATTTCTTATCTACAAATGGGTCTTTATGTGACCTTTGTGTATATTAATATTTCTAAGGAACATTATTTTTAGTATATTTTGAGGTCCCTTAAGATTAAAGATATCTTGAATTTGTTATTTTATTTTAGTGTATTGAAACTGCTAATCTTTGATACAGTTGACTTCTTAATTTTAACTGCTCAGTGATTTAATTATTCTGGGTGGAAATTTTCATTGGTGTTCTACTGGAAAGATTGATCTTAATATAAGTAACTGTTTTCAGACAAGTTTTTATCCTTCTGTAACTGGTTCTATTACATTGGATATAATTGTAAGAATGGGAAATATTGAGAAGGATATCTTACTTTACTCCCCCACATTTCAGTTTAGCTCTTTATTAGATCTAAGACTGTAAAAACTTTATTTCATTTTTATAATTGCATTTTCCTGATTTTGCACAAGTTGATCATTTATTTTTTAAAATTAAAATGTGTTCATACATTTTTATTCCTTAAACTGTGTATTTATATTTACTCATTAAACTGATAAAACATATACATCCATAGGAATCACATTGGTACCCAATATTAAGTCTTAACCTTAGTAGAATAAAGTTAAGATGAATACTATGAAGTGGGTAATTGTTTCTATCTCATAGAGTTTTTTTTTTAATTTGGAAATTAGAAGTATAATATTTTCATCACTACTCTTCTTCATTCAACTACATGCAGCATAGTTCTAATTTTCTCACCTTCTCCAAAGCCTGTGTAAATACCATTGTCACAATATTAAAGATATAAATCAAAAGTGGATAATTTGGATATGTAACATATAAATAATGTGTTACATTTAAATATATTAAACAATCATCAAAATTGTGTGGTCAAAATTCAGCTCAAATAAATTAATATTCCTTTTTGTCCTAAGCCACACTTTCAAACAGTAGGTACATCTGGCAGTCTAGAATAACCAAACAAGGAATAATTATAGATTAATGTGTAAGGAAATTTAAGTATATAAATGTAAAAAGTGCATAAAAGTAAAAAGTCTCTAACTTCTCTTTTCCTCTAACCAGAGAAATTCAAACGTGGTTTGGTCCATGTGAAAAGACTATAATTTTAACATGTAGAAATTCATATGACCTTAAATATTTAAATATTGTGTAGTTTGAAATGCAACCTTAAAAAATCATTGATAAGTAATGAATGCTTACCCTTAGATATAGAAGCCTTAATTTATTTATTTTAATCTTTGGTTGTGTTCTAAAATATATAAGAATGGATTATATTCATTCCTACATATAAGGAAAGATTGGTTTTCAAAAAGTTAATCTTTCATCGGCAGTAATTGAGCCTGAAACATGTTTCAGATATCAGTTATAGAATTCTATACAATAGAATAGAAACCAGAATGAGATTCGGCCAAGCCATTTTTTTGACACTATATTTTCCCTTCTTACAGACTATCTCTACTGGCCCATGAGGTCAATCAAAAGAGCTACTAGAATGTCATGGTATTAGAAACATGAAAATTAAGCTGGGCATGGTCAGCAAATTGGGAGGCAAAGGCAAGAGGATCCCAAGTTCAGGGCTAGCCTCAGCAACTTAATGAGATTCTGTCTCTAGAAAAAAAATAAATTAAAAGGGCTGGGATGTGGCTCAGTGGTAAAAATTCCCTAGGTTCAATCCCTCATACTGAAAAGGGAAAAAAAAAAAAATACTGAGCTGAAAATTAGAAATTAAATTACCAGCCTCAAATACTTTTCACAGTGAGATAAGATATAAATGAATAAAATAGTTAAATGATGTTTTATAAATTGTTAAAACCAATATTAATTTTAAGGTATTTATAGAAAAGGAAGAAATGTATAAAAGGTTTGTAAGTTAAAATAAGTCTTTCATAAATACTTAGAGAAGGACGAGTATGATGGAAATGTAGAGTAGCCATAGTGCATTTTATCAAAAACAATGGGTTTACTTAAAATTAAACCATATAAATGAAGAAAGACATTTTTAAGGCTTTTAAATCCCATAATCAGGGTTTGTGATTTTAAGTGTTTAGTTAATTAGTATGAAAACTCTCTTCATAACATCATGAGAAAGTATAAGTAAAAAATATAGTTTACTTTTTCATTTTTAAAAAATAAACAGTGGTCTCTCTGAAATAGAAAGTTAATTCTGCTTAAGAAACATATACACCCTGAGCAAATAAAGGTAATGGACTTAATTTGTTCTTTATTTCAAAGAATTCAGATTGTTTCACTTAGCACGTTAGTATTGATAGATTTTTTTTCTTTGAAATGTATTAACCTGTGTGTACATGTTAACGTGTGCAGGGGAATGTGTGTGTGTGTGTGTGTGTGTGTGTGTGTGTATACATAAATCACATTATCTTTTTTTTTTTTAATGTTAGGTTATTTTCAACTGAAGGGCCACATGTACCATGATATGAAATGGTGCCTTCAGAAGTTTTTGTGTGCCATAGAAAAAACAAGCTGTAGATATTGTTGTGTGTTTGTATTTAATTATAATAAATTTGTTCAAGTAGGATATAGTGAATACCATTTTGGAACTTTAATAAGCTATCATAGGGTTATGACATTCAGTAGTAGGCATTTTTAGTTAAGGAAAAAATTAAATCTGCTTGTCTTATTTATATTTCAAGCCTATGTTGCCTGTTTATGTTTTTAAAAATCAAACATTTTAATTATCATATATAGTTGTTATCCTGCTATTACATGTGAATTATTTGTATCAAATAAAACTAGTATTAATAGTACATTATTTGTAAATTCATGTTGCTATTTGGTATAAGAGATAAGAGATGACAATATTATTTTAAAATATAAGTAATATACCATGACACTTATACGCTTTAAATATGAATGATATGTATGTGAAAAACAGCTATTCCTATTTCTGTTCCTAACAATGACACTGTGCTCAATGTTACTTGTGGTATTTTTTTATAAGGAATATACGAGGATTTAGAAATGCTATTTACCAAAAATAATGTTTACAACTCTTATAGAAGTCATTGGGTCCTGCCAGTATTAGCAGGTTTACATGGGCAGAGAATGTCAAGGATATTTGCCACCTGGCCAAAGGAGGGAAGTATGTTTTGGAAAAGAGGAATGGCAGATGTCAAATTTTGGCCTAATTCATTACGATTCACAACTTTTACTGGGAATGATTTTAAGCCACAGAAGGATACCTATATATTTACCTCTAATTGTTTTCCATTCATTCAGCAAATATTTACTTAGAGATACCTAATTGAAAAACACTCCATTGATGACAAAGGGGTTGCAAAAGTGAGTCAGATATGGGCCTTGTTTTTAAAACTTCACTTCAGTGAAGGTCTTATGTTTGTAAATTTAAAATATAAGATGTTAAATGATTAATATCATATAAAAATATGTAGATAAAGAATTATGGGAATTCAGAAAAGGGAAAGTGATTTAAAACTGGGGAAATTGTGAAAATTTTAATTGGTGAGGTATCATTTGAGATATGCCTATTAAAAAATACGTCTGTAAAAGTGATACTTTCTTTATATATTCTTTAAAATCAAGATTTTTGCCAAATTGTTGTTACTGAATGAAAAATGATTATAGAGTTAATATTTACATATACACGGCCTACCATGAAACATTTTGCACTACTGATTGCTGTAGTGTATTATCAGACTAGTTAACTGTATAAATGTCCTCTTTCTGTGATAACGGACATAAAAGCTTGTTTTAGAGATGGCTAGGTTTTTTCATTTGTGCTTTTCTCTTGTGCAACTCAGTGTTTGTGACTATGTGCCTGTTCCTTCCATTGTCTTTATTTGTGTAGGTTCTTCATCACCACACAATTCAGATGAAGAACAAAAAATGAATAATTTTATAGAAAAGGGTATAGTATCTTTATTTTAAGTCTTTTCTTTTACTTATGTTTAATTCATTTAGTTTAATTTGAGTAGATTTTGACATTTTATATCAAAATATTATTTTCAGTGAAGACCAAAAGCAGAAAGTTTTCCAAGATGGTAGCCAGTGATATAGGTAGGAAATAGAAATTTCTATTTTGTTTCTAATCCTTGCTATATGCAATGCTAACCCAGCAGCTGAAAATTATCCAATACATTGCATTTTGTATATATTAATTGTTATTCCTATTCAAAATAATAATCTCTTGGGCTGTGTGTCTTCTAAACTCATTTGGGCAATAATTATTTTAAAAAAATCAGTTAAATTGGGGCTACAGTTCTTTCTCTCACAGTGTGAATTATTCTGATAATTTTTATTTTTGCTTTATTTTAAAATAAAGCAGGGTTCAATTTATGCCATAAGTAGCATGATTTTATACTCTCGAGTTAAGTTTTGAAGTAGTTTTTCCTCAT